GCACGGCCTGGTCACATCTCCCTCGATTTGTAACGAGGCAGAAATCCTGCTGAAGTCCCTGGAAGGCAGTCCCTGCCTAACGAGGACAAGATCCAGCCCTGGGCGGTGCAGGCCATTTTCAAAGCCTCAGCCCAGAGCCAGTTTTAATGATCACGGAAGGAACTTCTGAGAGAGTTGTACGAGGAGGACGGGATAATTGCACTAGAAATATTTGCCACTGATGACAGTGGCCCACTGGCCCGGGGCTCTTCATGAGACGTGGCCTTCAAGGTCAGCTCCTCTGGCACCTGCTCTCATTCCCTCTGATGCTCCGCTCCGAGATAATTATGAAAGTGCGACAGGCACCCTCCCCTCCCTGCCCGATGAAGCTGAAGGATTGGCTTTGTGTTCTCCAATTGTCTCTTTATTTTTAGTTGTTGATTGTCCAAAATATGGTCAAAGCCTGATTCTTAGTGGCTGAGTTTCATGAAAATACTGCAGATCTGGAAACGGAAAGATTGACTGTGCCTCTTACAGGCTGTGTGATCTTAAACAGGTTACTTGGCCTCTCTGGACTCAGTTTTCTCAGCTGGAGGAAACACACTACCAAATAGGACCTATCTGGAGCAGGCTTTAGCTCAGAGGTTAAGATGCCTGCATTCCACATGAGGGTGCCTGCTTTGAGAGCTGGCGCTGGCTCCTAACTCCAGTTTCCTGCTAATGCAGATGCTGGCAGGCAGTGGTGATGGCTCAGTTCCTGCTACCCATGTGGGAGACCCGTAGTGTGTTCCCGGCTCCTGGCTTCAGCCTGTCCCAGCCTTGGCTGTTGTAGGCATTAGGGGAGTAAACCAGTGAATGGGAACTCATTCTCTTGCTCCTGCTCTTGCTCTCTCTCTGCCAAATAAATAAATGAACACAATCTTTGAAACACCACCTCTGTGATGGGCCTTCCAGAATGCCGGTGACAATACCTGACCCAGGATGGTGTGCTTGTGTTATCACGGCTAACAGTGGACAAGTTGAGACGGGACATTCTGGCCGAGTGTTGTCGTGGATTTCTGGTCTCCAAGACTTCATTCATCCTGCATGACAAAATGATGGATACATTACTGTTCCCATCTCCCCCTGCCTCTGCCTCTCATCCCCTCCCCCCACCAAGGAGGATTTCGTCTTTATGCATCGGACTCCTGCCAGCCCAGCCTCCAGGGAGCATTGGGTCTTTGTAGGATTTTGCTCTTCGGATCTTAAAGAGCGGTTGGAGACTGGGCAGGAAAGCAACTGCAGCCCTGAGGCCTGTGTTACCTTCCACCTCTCTTCTGTCTCTACGAGAACTACAAGCCTCATGATGATGGGGACTTAAGCTGTTTTACTCACAAACATATCCCAGCACCTACTATAATCCCAACATGCAGATATTTGTTAGCATAGATGGATATTTGTGGAATAAAGGAGAGAAAGGCGAATGCATTCCTGATAGTAATGATTCGCTATCAGTAATGCTTTTGCGCCCCTTCCCAGGGAGATATTTGGCAATGTCTGAAAATAAGTGGTGTGACATCCAGAAGGGGGTGCTGCTGGCACCAAGGTGGCAGAGGCCAGGGTTACCTGGAACCTTCGGGAAAGGTCTGGTCTCCACCTGCTTCTCAGCCCTCAGACCCTGCAGTTTGCCTCTTCATTTACTCGGCTCCAACCACACTGACTTCCTGTTTCTCTGATGTGCTGGTTCTCAGAGTGTGGCCCTGGAAGCAGCAGTGTCAGCATCACCTGAAACTAGTTAGACATGCAAATTCTCCAGCCCCACCCCAGACTTGCTGAACAGAAGCTGCAGAGGGATGGCCAACAAGTCCCGGGCTTTGACAAGCCCACAGCTTCTAGTGCACACTCAGGTTTTTTTTATTTTATTTTATTTATTTTTTTGACAGGCAGAATTAGACAGAGAAGAGGACAGTGAGAGAGAGAGAGAAAGGTCTTCTTTTTTTGCCGTTGGTTCACCCTCCAATGGCCACCACGGCTGGTGCGCTGCGGCTGGCGCACCACGCTGATCCGATGGGAGGAGCCAGGTGCTTCTCCTGGTCTCCCATGGGGTGCAGGGCCCAAGCACTTGGACCATCCTCCACTGCACTCCCTGCCACAGCAGAGAGCTGGCCTGGAAGAGGGGCAACCGGGACAGATTCCAGTGCCCCCACCGGGACTAGAACCTGGTGTGCCGGCGCCGCAAGGCAGAGGATTAGCCTAGTGAGCCGCGGCGCCGGCCATCTGATTAATTTCTAACTCAAGTCTTAACCCAGGTGCTACGTCCTCACACAAGCCTTCCCTGAATGTTCCACCTGGGGCTGTCCTCTGACCCAGTTAATACAACACCGCTTCACTGTAAGTCTTACTTTATTATACTGCAAACCACTTATTTGTATTTATTTTCTCACGCCTCCTTTAAAGAACAGAGTCTGTGTCTGTTTTGTTCATCAGTACACCTCGCGTCCAGAGAAGCCTCTCTCAGCATGTGTACTAGGTGAATGAGTAAGTGAGTAGAAAATCTGCTTAATGGGGAGAAGAAGAGGAGCTAAAGGAGACACCAAGGAAGGTGCCAACATTCATGATAATGAGACGTAGCGAGGTGGGGGGCGGTGAGGTGTAGCTGCTAGAGCCACTGCCTGCAATGCCAGTATCCCATATGGGCACTGGTTCATGCCCTGACTACTCCACTTCTAGTCCAGCTCCCTGCTAATGGCCTGGGAAAGCAGCAGAAGATGGCCCAAGTGTTTTGGCCCCTACACCGATATGGGAGACCCAGAAGAAGCTCCTGGCTCCTGGCTCCTGGTTTCAGCCTGGCCCTGCCCTGGCTACTTCGGCCATATGTGGAGTGAACCAGTGGATGGAAGATCTCTTTCTCTCTGTCTCTCCCTGTCTCTCTGTAATTCTGACTTTCAAAGAAAAACAAATACATCTTTTAAAAAAATGAGAAATGGGGGCAGGGGGAAAGAAAGGAAAATAAAGCCTCCCCTGAGACATTTAAGACTTCGGGCTCTGAGGGATGAAAGAAGTGGCAACGAGAAAGCGGAGAGAGAATGTTGAGAAGGGCTGCTGTGGGCGCCACAAGACCTCCCAGGACAGATCGATCCTGCTCACCCGTGCCGTGTCGGAGGTGAACTTCCGCAAGGCAGATGTGGGCTCCTGGGATGGACGAAGCTCACACTCCAGCTCCCTGCATTCCTGCCACACAGAAAGGCCAAGTCCTCGGTGAAGAGTACAGCAAGGGATTAGACACACAGAGGTCTTCAGGAAGCTCAGAGTTTACTATGGACATAAGAGCTGTGCAGAGGTCATCATAAAGGAGACACACTTCCGAGTTACTTACATGGGATGTATCTTCTTGCATGTTATGTGGAGTGCCATGTGTGGTGCTCATAAAACTCCGGGAAGTGTCTTAGTCTGTTCTGTGTTGTTGAGTACTTTGTAAAGAGATTTATTTGCCTCACAATTCCAGTAGCTGGAAAGTCCAAACAGCGTGGGTGCTGGTGTCTTACAACAGCCCCCTGGCTATGCCACAACATGGCAGAGAAGTGGAAAGGGAAGTGGCTGTGGATAGAAGGGGCAGAACAGATGGAGTGGCCTTGCTCTGTCACACCCTGCAGTCATGAGAACTAAGCCTCCCCTGTGGGAACAGCATTGATCCCACCCAAAGATGGTGCCCCCATGACCTAAGCACCTCCTCCAGGCCCCACCTCCCAAAGATGCATCAGCTCTCAATATCATTACAGCGGGAACCCAGCGTGCAGCTCACAAACCTTTGGGGGACACGCTTGGCCCCTATTAAACCCAAAACAGGAAGTAGCCCCAATGTACAGATGACATACAATGCTTGTGGAGATTTCAGTCTGTTTTAAGCCAAATGCTTTCTAAGAATTCTCACAGCAGGGGCCGGAGCTGTGGCATAGCCAGTAAAGCCACCTCCTGCAGTGCCAGCATCCCATGTGGGCACTGGTTCAAGTCCCAGCTGCTCCACTTCTGATACAGCTCTCTGCTATGGACTAGGAAGCAGCAGAAGATGGCCCAAGTCCTTGGGCCCCTGCACCCATGTGGGAGACCCAGAAAAATCTCCTGGCTCCTGGCTTCGGATCGGTGCAGCTCCAGCCATTGCACCCAGTTGGGGAGTGAACCAGAGAATGGAAGACCCCCCTCATCTCCTTCTCTCTGTGTGTAACTCTGACTTTCAAATAAATAGATCTTTAAAAACAAAAAAATCTCACAGCAATCCTGGAAAGTGTCCTAATCCCCTCCTCACAGATGAGAAAACTGAACTTCAGAAAAGGGAACTGATTTGCAAAAGGTGAAAGAGCACTTCTACTTAAAATTTAAAAAAAAAAAAAATGAATGGAGGGTGCTCCACATCTCCTCTATGTCATCCTTTCCAGTGGAAGTCACACCAACTAAGACTGCCTTCAGGTCTGTGTAAGGACAAGCCTTCCGGCCCGCAGAGCTGTGTGCCAGTGCAACGGGCCATCCCCCGAGCTGGTAAGCTCTGTTGCTATCTGCACGTCGGCCACGACGTCATTTCTGTGAAGAAAAGGAACCAAACTGCCGTTTCCCAGTTTCTGAATATCAGATCCTCTGATTCTGTTCCTTGGGGCCATCCTTCTCCTCCCTGAGCCTCGTGCTCATTTCATGGGATCCCATGAGCCCAACGGTCCCTTCCACGCCTCCCAACCAAAGGGGCTCAGGTTTGCAGGGCAGACAGGGAGGCCAGGGTTGCTGGGTTCTCACCAGGGTTTTGGCATCCCTCGCTAAATGTCCTGCTTAGCCAAGAGACCTGGGACCTTTGGAACTTTACCTCCTTCTCAGGCAACAAACCAACCCAAACTCTGGAAAATTCCAGGCAGCAAAAGGCTGCTTTGATGACAAAGACCTGGAGCCATTCCCACAGCCGGCTTGGGAACCTGTACTTCCCCACACCACCACCCCCCCACCTCCACCCACCCTGCAAAAAGAGAACTCATTTTATTAGAATTCCAATTATGCTCCAGTGGTTTTGAATCCCCAGAATTCCTTTATCCCAGAGCCAGAATAATTGGATTTGTCTCCTAAGCCTCAGCTGCCCTCTGCTTCATCAGCGTGCTGGGCTCTGGGCCCACGGAGCCCGTGAAGGCATTGAAAAGATGCCACGTGGCCTCATGAAATCAGAAGTAAGATCTTTAGGGCTGCCTTGTACAGTGGGGCAGGGGAGAGAGGGATTTTATCTTTTGATAAATCACTTCCCGGTCTTCAGATAACAATTTTACAGTCTGCTAATGTCCTGAGCTAGAATTTATAATTCTGGGGAATTGCTCCTTCTTTCTAATGGGGCCTTCCTCCTTTTGCCTTTCCCCATTCCCTCCCTTTCTTGGATTTTCCACAAAAGGGAGCAGCAAGGGAGGGAACAGAACTGGTGATCTCTGCCACCCGATGCAGAAAGTTCCTCCACACACGCTGTACTTTGCGACTCCTCACGTTATCTCATCCCTGCAACAACGCTGGAAACAGGCTCAGAGCTGGTACCAGTCCCATATTACAGATAGGGAAACTGAGGCTCTTCATAGATGCGCAAGAAAAACTCACTTCTGCTTCCAAGCTCAAGTCTCTCGCCAACGTATCGTGATGCTCCTCTAATTACTGATGACCTCATTTCTATTCCAGAGCTGAGAAGGGAATCCAGCTGTTAAGGGTTGAACTTTTCAAAACATGTATTCCAAGAATTAAGAAGTAAGTGTCAGGGCCAGCATTGTGGTGCAGCGGGTTAAGCCACTGCCTGCAGTGCTGGCATCCATATGGGCACTGGTTCCCAGCTGCTCCACTTCCTATCTAGCTTCCTGCCAATGTGGTTGGGAAAGCAGCAGAACACGGCCCAAGTCCTTGGGCCCCCGCAAGCATGTGGGAGACTCAGATGTTCTTGGCTTTTGACTTCAGCCTTGCCCAGATCTGGCCATTGCAGCTGTTTGGGGAATGAACCAGTGGATAGAAGACCTCTCTCTCTGTCTCTGTCTCTCTCTGATTCTGACTTTCAAATAAATAAATAAATCTCAAGAAAGAGAGAGAGAGAGAGAGAAAGGAAGGAAGGAAGGAAGGAAGGAAGGAAGGAAGGAAGGAAGGAAGGAGGGAAGGAAGGAAGGAAGGAAGGAAGAGCCTTGTGATGATGGGGGGAAATTCTGTTCTCAATCCCACAACCACCAGTAAACTGAGGTGGAAGCCCGGTAGGCAAGCGTTTGTGATTGTCTTTAATCCACCTGTGTGATACTTCCAGAATTATTTCCCCTCAAGGACAAGTGTGCCTAGGTCTCTCCTGGGAAAAAGCCTCCGGTCTTCCCTTGCCTAAAAGGGAAAACTATAGAGTTGGTAGGAAGCTTGGACCATCTAAGCCAATACTCTAAACTAGGCCCTAGTATGCTCTCCAAAACAGATCACCCTCAGACCTCTGCTTGGATAACTCCAGTGATGAGGATCTCATTACTCTTTCTTATTCCACTCACTTTCTCATCATCTACTTTATTTTACCTGAACAGCAGCTACTTGTTCGATCCACACAATGTCAATCCTGGGAATACAATCATGAATCAAGAGTGTTAACCAAGAAAGACTTCTGAAATCAGACTGCCAGCGTCCAAACTCCAGCTGCATCATCACCGATCACCCTTGCAAGGTCTTCACCTCTGTTTCGCTCAAGTTCCTTCACTGGAAAATGGGGCTAAGAATACTATCGAGGATTGAGACATTGCAGCTGAACAGGAGGCATCCAAGCACAGAGGGAGCATTTGATTTCAGTAAGAAAGAGAACTGTGGACATGGTCCTGAAACCAAGTCTCCCAGTAGGCAGGCAGTCCTGCAGCCCCCGCGGAGTGCATGTCAGTGTCCTTCACAGCACAACTGCTCAATAAAGGCTTGAGGAATAAAAGAGCAGGATTACAAATGACGACCATGGGCAGCATGATTCCAAGCCTGGGTCTAATATCTCTTAAGTGAGTCTCCTTGGAAAAGCCACTGAGACTCAGTTTCCATACTGCTTTACTTCATCTGTGACATAGGGATGCGATTCATTATGGTCATTTCAGGATTCACAGGAGAATGAGGGCTACATTCTCTGTGAAACGAAGAAGACCATTTAAGTGAGTGGAAGCTCCGATCCCCAGCACTGAATAAGGGGAAGGAGTGTTGGATTTCTGGGTTCAGGACATCTCGGGGAGCAGTGATCTCTATGGAGGGGCTGGTGAACTCCTCTGGACTTGAGTTTACTCAGGTTGAGAATGAGGGCAGGGCAGAGAGTGCCAAGTTTCAGGAATATTCTAAAACTCTGTGACTACATCATTCTAGCACTTGGCATCTTCCTGCTCGCCCCTATCAGTGGAAGCAAGATTCTAGTCCGGGATCTGGAGAGGGGCAGGGTCCCCTTTCACCATTCTTTCCGGTCAGAATAACCTTTTATTGAGGGCTCAAATTTGGCACACACTGTGCTATGTCACTTGCCTCCGTGATCTCATTTTTTCTTACAGTTACCCCATGAGGTAGCTTCTATTACCCGTTTTCTGAAAACAGAGAAACTGAGGCACAGGAACATTGAGTATCATGTTAAAGCCCACAGACTGAGAGGTGATGTCATCCTTCACACGGGTGGCCTGCTTCCAAAGCCCACGCTCTTACCCACTAAGCTGCACTGTCACCAGCAATTCCCTCTGTGTCCCCTGACAGCGGCCGGGAGAGAGACTCATGTCTGCTCCCGGTGGTCTGTGCAGTGCCCACCACTCTACCAGTCCGGGCTGCTGGGGGCCTGTGTTGAGCGGGAATGCCACGCTGCTAATGGGAGAAAATGTAATTATGGAGCATAATTACAGTGTATCGCATTCTATAATTACACTGATGGTATTTAATATAGAACATATTCTGAAGCTAAATGGAATGGAAACACCCCCCAAACAGATCAGAGTCAGCTGCTGAGAACCTGTTCCCTCCACAATGCAGAATCACAGCCTGCTGTTCCGCATGCCCCAGCTCGGTGGAAAAACACCATGGTCCACCCCAAACCGGGTGCTGGCCAGCCATTTACCTGCATGGTGCAGACCTCACCTCGGAAGCCTGCCTGGTCCTCACCAACTCGCTGTTTCTGGTCTGCCTCAGCACCTGGCAGCCCTCAGCTAGCCCGTCTCTGTGACTTTCCTGCTGCTCATTTCGCTTCCAGAGATACCATCCGGGGCCTCCTCCACACTGAGAAATCACTGCAGCGAGCAGGTCAGACCACCTCACTGTCTCACGGGACTAGCAGCCCTGCTCACCACTGGGGACCTTGGAGATCTGGCCTGTGCTCATCGCCATGTCCTCCCCTCCTGATGCTTGGCCTGCAGTGCTGGGCTCCAGCCATTGGGAACTATGCAGAGGGATTCCAGACCCCCGCCCAGGGGTGTGCATGTTCTCCTCCACCTGCCATGCCCTCCTCTCACATCCTCACCTAACTCTTCCTCAGCTCACATGCCGTCAGCCCGAGGAGACGAGGGTAGGAGCCGCTGAAGTGTGCGCCATCAGCATCGTCTGCCCGAGAACTCACCCACAGCACAGGACTGGCAGTTCCCTCTCGGTCTCTCCATCCAGCCTGGGAGCAACGGGACTGCGTTTGTTTGACTTTGATTTTCATCCCCAGCACATACAGTGATGCCTGGCATAGAAGAATGATGAATGGATGAATGAATGAATGAATGAAAAATACACTCAAGTAATCACATGCAAACAATACTATTTTATTTCTGTGACTACGTACAAGGGAAAACAGAGCTATAAAGGGTCACCGGTTAAGAAAGCTTTTAGACCTTTCTTTAATTTCAAAGATTAAAAAAAAGAGGAACAGAGAAGTAAAGAAACGTGCCCAAGGTCACACAGCCAGCATATGGCGAGAGAGAAAGAAAAGGTCTTTCAGTCCCAAGTTTAGTGCCATTCCATAATATGGAAAAATATCTAGTTATTTCTATGCAAAGGGAAAGAATTGTGTGAAAAAATAAAAATGTTGATAACAGAAAGCACAAGGTCGTGTGGACTGTAATACTTGGTGTCTATAAACTGCATGTTTGTATACCTACGGGGAAACACTAACCACACACATGATGGTATTTGATGATGGGGCCTTTGACAAGTAATTAGGGTTAGATGAAGTCCTGATCACGTGACTTCATGCTAGGAATAGTGGCCTTATTATAAAAAGAGAAGACCGGGCCGTGTTGTGACATAGTGGGTTAAGTGGCCGCCTGCCGTGCCAATTCCCTTTTGGGGGCCAGTTGGTATCCCAGCTGTTCCACTTGTAATCCAGCTGCCTGCTAATGGGCCTGGGAAAGCAGAAAGCAGCAGAAGATGGCCACGTGATTGGGTCCCTGCACCCATGTGGGAGACCTGGATGAAGCTCCTGTCTCCTGGCTTTGGCCTGGCCCAGACCTAGCCCTTGCAGCCATATGGGGGAGTGAACCAGTGGATGGAAGATCTCTCTCTCTCTCTGTCTCTCCCTCTCGTTGTAACTCTGCCTTTCAAATAAATAATAAACCTTGAATAAATAAAAACATAAAAATAAATCATAGGAAGACACCTCTCTCTCTCTCACTCCCTCTTCTTCCCTCCCTCTCTCTCAACTTCTGCCCATTCTGAACATGTGCACCAAGGAAAGGCCATGTGAGGCTCTAGGGAGCGGGTAGTCTTCTGCAAGCCAGAACGAGAGCCCTTAGCAGAACCCAATCCTGATGCAAACTTGACCTTGGACTTCAGCCTGCAGACCTATGAGAAACCAGTTTCCGTTTTTAAGCCACATAGTCTGTGGTATTTTGCATGACAGCTCAAGCAGACTAAGATACTTGGCACCGCAACGTTTATGACTTTCCTTATCTAGGTGTGAATAAGAGAAAATAAATCCATTTCCAGTTAGGTTCAGCTCCACTAGGCCCTTTCGGAGTCACTGCCTGTCCCTGGGGAAACACACATGTGCTAGAGAGGTGGCAAAAACAATGAAACCAATACAGAAATCATATCTCCACTTCATCCAACAGTGTGAATGCACCCACAAATTTATTTTAGAATACCAAATACCTGCTTGCCCTGTGTAACACCCCAGAGACCTAAAGCTTTGAGAACCAAACTCACACAACATTGGACTCTCTCACCCGCCCTACTTATGCATTCATTTATTCATTCAGCAGCTACTGGGGATCAGGTGTGTGTCTGGCACTAGGATCCCAGCAGTGAACAAAGCCGAATCGCTGTCCTCACCAAGTCCTCACTGCAGAGGCAACGTTGCCTGCCGACAAAGCACCTGACTCGGCAGCCAGACTACCTGGGTTCTACTCACAGCTCTGCCACCAACGCCAGGCTGAATTTGAGCAAGTCGCTCTGCTTTAGTTTAATCCACTAACTGGAGTTATAGACTCCCTCCTTGAGGTGTTCTTGGAGGACAAATCAGGCGATACAGGTGACATGCTTGGTACCATTTGTAGCACATGGGAAGCTTCAGGAAACAACAGTGTCAGCTGCATTCTGTTTCCATCCATATCCCGTTGGCGAAAAGTAGACTATTACAGCCACCAAGATGATGCAATCCCACCCTCCTGTATTATAGATAGGGACATGCACAGAAGACTGCAGAATGTCCCAGGTCGCACAGCATGCTCACGTCAGAGCCTCAGTGGTCCTCTCATTCCAGGCCATCTCTACGTGGAGGGCCCAAGAGGCCCTGGCCTAGCACACTGCTAGTTATGCAGACCCAGCTTCGAGCTCTGAACCGAACCCTTCCCAGTGAATAATGTCATTTATTCTCTTTGAATTTCCATTTTCCCATCTGGAGAATGGGTATTATAATGCTACTGATGATGATATAGTATTAATTGTTAAGAAAAGAGTTGTAAATTGGTGCCTCCTCACATGGGGCACCATAAGTGTTAGGAAAAGAGGCACAGAATAGAGAGGAGGCAGTATGTGAATTTACAGCCAGACCAAATTTATTCAGAGAAAATAAATTTGTAGAGGTGGGCTGTGGGGAGCAACTGGGAGCAACTCGGACTAGACTAAGTTACTGGAATTAAGACTTATTCTATGCATCTGCTCTCCCACAATATGGCGCTGGGAGAGGAGGAAACAGCTTCTACACAGCTGCCTCCAGTTCAACCAATAAACAGCAGGACCTGCTCCTGATTGGAGGAGAGCAGCATACTCGGCGTGTGGGTAGCAGAGTTGGGATTGGTGGAAGAGGACTATAAAGGAGGAGAGAGACAACATGCACCAGGAACATCTATCTGAAGGAACACCTGAGCAGCCCCCGAGAGAGCCGGAGGTGGAAGGGACGGTAGCCAACCCGGGAAGAACCAGCAGCAAACCCAGGAAGGGCCGAGCAGACAAAAGAACAGCGCAGGGTCCTGTGTCGTTCCTCCATGAAGACGGGGAGCGACATAATGGTGCCGTGACTCGGATAGGAAGCCTAGGCAGGGTTCAGTGTCGCTCCTCCACGAAGACGGGGAGCGACAGTGGGCGATCAACTGCTGGCTTGCACTTGATGGAATACATGGCAAAAGGCCCTGATCCACAGAGGCTGAGCCATTTTATATTTTAGGAGGGCTGGGGATGGGGTGGGGACAGGGGCAGCAGGCTGAGAGGAATTCCTGGAACTGGTCTTTCAGGTGGCTTTAAGGGGTGGGAAATGAAGGCAATAGGGTGTGAGACCCAATTGAGATTCAAGGGGCAAGGGATACATTCCAATGTTTACCTATCTTTTGGGCAATGAGAGAGAATGGCTGAGGCTTATGTCTCTTTTCCATCATTAATCAGTATTAACCCTCCTCTCCTGCAGTTGGGAGGTTTATATGAGACATGAGACATGAGAAGGGTTTTGGAATTATAAAAGGAATTATATAACTGGAGTTATATAATGTCCAATACAGTAACCACTAACAAGTGGCTGTGAGCACTTGAAATATAACATGGGAGGAGCTGAATCTAATCTTAGTTAAATTTAGTTTAAAAATGAATACCTGGGGCTGGCACTGTGGCCTAGAGGGTAAAGCCATCGCCTGCAGTGCAGGCATCCCATATAGGCACTGGTTTGAGTCCTGGCTGCTCCACTTCCAATCCAGCTCTCTGCTATGGCCTGGGAAAGCAGTGGAGGATGACCCAAGTCCTTGGGTCCCTGCACCTGCATGGCAGACCCAGAAGAAGCTCCTGGATCCTAGCTTTGGATTGGTGCAGCTCTGGGCATTTAGGCCATTTGAAGTGAAACAGCAATGGAAGATTTCTCTCTCTCTCTCTCTCTCTCTCTCTCTCTGCCTGTCCTTCTCTCTTTGTGTATCTCTGACTTTAAAATAAATAAGTAAACCTTAAAAAAAAAAAAAAAAACTAATAGGGCTGGCATTGTGTCATATCAGGTAAAGCCACGGACTGCAGTGCCTGCATCCCATATGGGCACTGTTTTGTGTCCCAGATATTCCACTTTTTTTCTTTTTTTTGACAGGCAGAGTGGACAGTGAGAGAGAGAGACAGAGAGAAAGGTCTTCCTTCCGTTGGTTCACCCTCCAATGGCCACCGTGGCTGGCGTGCTGCGGCCGGCACACCACGCTGATCCGATGGCAGGAGCCAGGTGCTTCTCCTGGTCTCCCATGGGGTGCAGGGCCCAAGCACTTGGGCCATCCTCCACTGCACTCCCTGGCCACAGCAGAGAGCTGGCCTGGAAGAGGGGCAACCAGGACAGAATCCGGCGTCCCGACCGACCGGGACTAGAACTTGGTGTGCCTGCGCCGCAAGGCAGAGGATTAGCCTAGTGAGCCGCGGCGCCCAGATATTCCACTTCTGATCCAGCTCCCTGCTGATGGCCTGGGAAAGCAGCAGAAAATGGCCCAAGTGCTTAGGGCCCTGCATCCCCACGGTAGACCTAGAAGAAGCTCCAGATCTGCTCAGCCCTGGGCCATTGTGGCCATCTAGGGAGTAAAACAACATCTCTGTGTGAGTGTCTCTCCCTCTCTCTCTCTCTCTCTAACTCTGCTTTACAAATAAATTAGTAATTCTTTAAAAAAAAAAAAAAAAAAAAAAGCCAGCCGGCGCCGCGGCTCACTAGGCTAATAGGTGTGCGGCGCAGGATTCTGTCCCGGTTGCCCCTCTTCCAGACCAGCTCTCCGCTGTGGCCAGGGAGTGCAGTGGAGGATGGCCCAAGTGCTTGGGCCCTGCACCCCATGGGAGACCAGGAGAAGCACCTGGCTCCTGCCATCGGATCAGCGCAGTGCACCGGCCGCAGCGCACCGGCCGCGGCGGCCATTGGAGGGTGAAGCAACGGCAAAGGAAGACCTTTCTCTCTGTCTCTCTCTCTCTCTCACTGTCCACTCTGCCTGTCAAAAATAAATTAATTAATTAATTAATTAAATTTAAAAAAGCCTAATACTCAACTCAGTTATTGGAAAGCAAGCATTCACAACTGGAAAATGGGAATCTCCTTTTTCAATTGTCTCTACTTGATGAAATCTTAATACAGACCAAGTGTTTCTGATAAAAATGGAACACCAAATTGAAATGTAAAAGTGTAAAATACAGGCAGGAACTCAAAAGTGTCTGCAAAAACTGAATGTATCTCATTAGCAACTTTTATACTGGTTGTGTGTTAGAATTATAATCTTTGGCTACATTGTGTTAAATAAAGTATATCTG